TGTACCATGCATCAGTATTATGGTTGCCCTCAGGGCTAGTTGTATCTATAAAACTAGATGTCTAGGGTGCACTACCTCCCCTTACATCAGATGTCAAGATTTACCCCACCATCAGAAGTCAAGAGTTCCCAACACTTCCTTACATCACAGTGCACCCATTCTTACCTTGTGCTGCTGCTAGGAAAAGCTGGTAGGGACGGAGCTGGGAAGCAGAGATGAGGGGGTGCTGTGGCTGCACAGAAAGGCGCAGGATATGTAGGAGGAGTTTTGCCCTCCTCTGCTGCTGCCAACTGCTGAGACAGGGATGGGGGAGTAGAGATGAGCTTCTCCATGGTTGCACAGAAAAGTGCAGGATCTGGCGGAGGAGTTCCGTCCTCCTCTCTGCTGACGACTGAATTTTCACATACAGTCATGGCCGAAATTGTTGGCACCCTTGATATTTCTCCAGGAAATCATGTATTTCTCACGAAACGTATTGCATTAACACATGTTTTGCTATACACATGTTTATTCCCTTTGTGTGTATTGGGACAAAACAAAAAAAGGGAGGAAAGAAAGCAAATTCGACATAATGTCACACAAACCTCCAAAAATGGGCTGGACAAAAGTATTGGCACCCTTTCACAACTGCGGATAAATAAGAATGTTACAAGCATGTGATGCTCCTGTAAACTCACCTGGGGCAAGTAAACAGGTGTGGGCAATATAGAAATCACACCTGAAAGCAGATAAAAAGGAGAGACGTTCACTTAACCTTTGCATTGTGTGTCTGTCTGTGCCACACTAAGCATGGACAACAGAAAGAGGAGACGAGAACTGTCTGAGGACCTGAGAACCAAAATTGTGGCAAAATATCAACAATCTCAAGGTTACAAGTCCATCTCCAGAGAACTAGATTTGCCTTTGTCCACAGTGCGCAACATTATCAAGAAGTTTGCAACCCATGGCACTGTAGCTAATCTCCCTGGTCGTGGACGGATGAGGAAAATTGATGAAAGATTGCAACGCAGAATAGTCCGGATGGTGGATAAGCAGCCCCAAACATGTTCCAAAGACATTCAAGCTGTCCTGCAGGCTCAGGGAGCATCAGTGTCAGCGCGAACTATCCGTCGACATTTAAATGAAATGAAACGCTATGGCAGGAGACCCAGGAGGACCCCACTGCTGACACAGAGACATAAAAAAGCAAGACTACAGTTTGCCAAAATGTACTTGAGTAAGCCAAAAGCCTTCTGGGAAAACGTCTTGTGGACAGATGAGACCAAGATAGAGCTTTTCGGTAAAGCACATCATTCTACTGTTTACCGAAAACGGAATGAGGCCTACAAAGAACAAAACACAGTACCTACGGTAAAATATGGTGGAGGTTCAATGATGTTTTGGGGTTGTTTTGCTGCCTCTGGCACTGGGTGCCTTGACTGTGTGCAAGGCAAGGCATGAAATCTGAGGATTACCAAAGGATTTTGGGTCGCACTGTAGGGCCCAGTGTCAGAAAGCTGGGTTTGCGTCCAAGATCCTGGGTCTTCCAGCAGGACAATGACCCCAAACATACGTCAAAAAGCACTCAGAAATGGATGGCAAAGAAGCGCTGGAGAGTTCTGAAGTGGCCAGCAATGAGCCCAGATCTAAATCCCATTGAACACCTGTGGAGAGATCTTAAAATTGCTGTTGGGAAAAGGTTTGTCCTTCCAATAAGAGAGACCTGGAGCTGTTTGCAAAGGAAGAGTGGTCCAAAATTCCGGGTGAGAGGTGTCAGAAGCTTATTGATGGTTATAGGAAGCGACTGATTTCAGTTATGTTTTCCAAAGGGTGTGCAACCAAATATTAAGTTAAGGGTGCCAATACTTTTGTCCAGCCCATTTTTGGGGTTTTGTGTGACATTATGTCATATTTGCTTTTCTGCCTCTGTTTTATATTTGTTCCAATACATACAAAGGGAATAAACATGTGTATAGCAAAACATGTGTTAATGCAATACCTTTTTTGTGTGAAATACTTGATTTTCAGGAAAAATATCAAGGGTGCCAACAATTTCGGCCATGACTGTATCTTGGTGCACAAAGTGAAACAAAGTGAATATTCACCTTGCAATTTCATATTATTCATGAAACTAAATTCAATTTGCTAAGAAAAAATTCACCTAGATTAGTGAGAAAGGTGAAGTTCTGAATTCAATCATCCAATTATATGCAAGCAAAAAGTTGTTTTTTTTTATGGTATTTGTACATGATTAGGTTCTAACAAAGTGAATTTTAATTTTGCTTCACTTCAAGATAAGTGATAATTCAATTTGGAAAGTGAAAATTCGCTTTGAAAGGGAACATGCTCTTCTCCTTTAGTAAATCAACCACAATAGATTTAATATGCTAAAATAGTATTTACAAATGAAGTAACACAATTCATTAAAAAAAAAATCATAATCACATATTCAACATGAACACACTCTATTTACCACGTTCACTAAGCTAATGGAACAATTTCAACATTCTCTACTGTTTCAGTAAATTAAAGTGGCATTAAACCCCAAACCAAAAATGTAATATATTTCAGCCTACCAAAGCATTAGTTTTCTTTTTTTAGTCTTTTTCCCTGTTTTCACCCGGTGATCTGGTCAGTAACACATCTCCTGAATTAGAGTGCCTCCACTTTGGATAAAGGAACATAGGGACACCTTTGGAGAGCAGCATTTTAAGTCTAGGGGAGGGGATTGTTAGATGTACTAGCAGATTTAAATACACTAACAAATTGAAGCCAAACTCCAGCTAACACTGCAGTTACCCAAGTAGTTACAAAATAGTTTTTTTTCCTTTTGGGATAAAGGTTTTACATGAATAAATAAAAGCTGATCATTGTAATCACCACTGTCAGTGGTAAATGATGCGTCTCAACACTCTACTTGATACATTTGCAGTATTGCTTGTTCTGTTGAAAAACAACAGACTTACTGGCTGAATCACCAGATGAAAAAAAAGGATATAAAGCCTAAAAAAAAGTTAATGCAGTCATCACATCTAAGAACTGGAAAGCTGTGATACAATGGTTGCTTTTGGATTTAATATCACTTTAACCCAAGTAATGTATTGCAATAGTGACTCATTATCATTGTATTATTTTTATGAAACAGTTTATAATCATTGGGACCTCAAAAATTACATTCTTGTGTCACAAAGTAAAGAGAAAACTTTTCTTTAAAGCACATAATGTTTTCCTTATTGCCATGTTATTTTTGCTGCCTTGGTAATTGTCACAATACATTTTATTTGGAATGCCTTCCAGTTATTTATAATATGACCCAAGGCTGGCATTACAAAGCACATACGCAGTGTTAGAAAGTCATTAATGAGTAAGATGCCAGGCAATATACTGTATTGATAGCATCATTTGGCACAAGAATTTCTAATTTGTAATAGTAGAGTGCTATGGTAACCTGACACATATACATGTATACACAGACAGTCTTCTGTATGTACGCAAGGTATTGAGAGCACCAAAAACCAATAGCAATAGCACATGGCTAATCTGTGACTAGGGGAGAGATATGGCCCTTTGCTTGCCTTTACCTGGCCCTCAGTGCACATTTCCTCGAACTGATACAAGACACTAATCCTTTCATCCCACTAACAATGGGGCATAAGTACTGCTACTGACATCAACAATGAGGTACTATTTCTCCCATTGACACAAACTATGGGTCACTATTCCTCCCACTGATACCAATGATGGGGCACTATTCCTCCCACTGACATTATTGATAGGGCTCTATTTCCCCTCACTGACACCAACAATAGGACATTATTCCTCAAACTGACACAACTGGACACTAATCCTCCCGCTGACACCAACAATTGGGCACTATTCCTCCCACTTACACCAATGAAGGGGCACTATTCCTCCCCCTAATACCAAAGATGCTTTGTTTACTACCACTGATGCTGGGACAATTTCTACTCCAAATGGCCACAGTCCAGCCCCCTGAAAGTCTGATGAACAGTAAACTGGCCCTATGTTTAGAAAGTTTGGAGACCCCTGATGTAAGTGATCAGACTCTCCCCGATTTATAGATCATGTTACAAGCAGTGTAATCAATGAAAGAACATTTCCCATTGGAGGAGGAAGAAGGAGGGTGCATGTGCCTGTCGAACCATCCAAACTGCTGATCTGCCTGAAGACCTGAAATTGTTAACTTTTGCTCTGCCTAACATTAAGAGAAAGGAAGAGGACAGGCATCCCTGCAGCAAAGAGTTCCACATGATCCAGCTGTCTGTATAACGTGAAACACTTCATTACAGATAAGTGATGTGACTAAACCTATAGAGATTTTTTTTTTTTAATTAAACTTTGGCTTCAATTCTTTCAGATGGGAAAGTCAAGTCAAAGATATGAAAGAAACATATGGCAGTTTGTAAATGAGTTAAAAAAAATCTGTACTGTAAGTGGATGGTAGTCTGACAATGTAAAACTGTGACAGTGGTGCACCACTAAGTTTAGGGAATACGATTCTAGTTACCGTATTTTTAGCTCCATAAGACACACCTGACCATAAGACGCACCTAGGTTTTAGAGGAGAAAAACAAGAAAAAAAATATTCTGAACCAATGGACTGCAGACACAATACAGGGGATGACCAGAGACTACGGACACAGTACAGGGGATGACCAGAGACTGCGGACACAGTACAGGAGATGACCAGAGACTGCGGACATAGTACAGGGAATGACCAGAGACTGCGGACATAGTACAGGAGATGGCCAGAGACTGCAGACACAGTACAGGAGATGACCAGAGACTGCGGACATAGTACAGGGAATGACTAGAGACTGCGGACACAGTACAGGAGATGACCAGAGACTGCGGACATAGTACAGGGAATGACCAGAGACTGCAGACATAGTACAGGAGATGACCAGAGACTGTGGAAATAGTACAGATGACCAGAGACTGCGGACATAGTACAGGAGATGACCAGAGACTGCAGGCATAGTACAGGGAATGACCAGAGACTGTGGACATAGTACAGATGACCTGAGACTGCAGACATAGTACAGGAGATTACCAGAGACTGCGGACATAGTACAGGAGATGACCAGAGACTGCGGACACAGTACAGGAGATGACCTGAGACTGCGGACACAGTACAGGAGATGACCAGAGAATGCAGACATAGTACAGGAGATGACCAGAGACTGCAGACATAGTACAGGAGATGACCAGAGACTGCGGACACAGTACAGGAGATGACCTGAGAGTGCGGACAGAGTACGGGAGATGACCTGAGACTGCGGACACAGTACAGGAGATGACCAGAGACTGAAGACATAGTACAGGTAATGACCAGAGATTGCGGACATAGTACATGGAATGACCAGGGACTGTGGACATAGTACAGATGACCAGAGACTGCGGACATAGTACAGGAGATGAGCAGAGACTGCGGACATAGTACAGGAGATGACCAGAGACTGCGGACATAGTACAGGAGATGACCAGGGACTGCGGACATAGTACAGGGAATGACCAGAGACTGTGGAATAGTAGAGATGACCAGAGACTGCAGACAGTGCAGGGGATGACCAGAGACTGCAGACAGTAAAGGAGATTACCAGAGACTGCGGACCTTTGGGGAGGGAGGGGGAGCGGGTACCTGAATTTGACAGGTACCCGCTCCCACTTCTGCGGAGTTGTCCTTCCTTCTTCTTCCCGCGGCGGCTTCTGTGACAGCCGGGTGCCCACTGCGCATGCGCGAGAAGCGCTGCGCTTTCTTAATGGCTCGGAGCCTTCTGGGACACATGACACTGCAGTATCCCAGTTTTTTAATTTTTGTAGTAAGATCCCTACCTGTGTGTCTAGTAAATTAGACCTTAGCATTGCTATTCAAAACAGTCCTGAACGCTACTAAAATGCTCCTAACAACTTTTTTCACCATTTATATGTACTGTAAAAACGCTAATAAAACACTAACACTACAAATTGCTCCTAAATGTTTCTGAACGCTACTAAAACGCTGCTAAAATGCTACTAAAAACTGTTGTTACCAGCATTTTTTATCTAGTGTTTTTTTCCAGTATTTTTTTAGCAAAAAAAATGCTAGTGTGTATGGAGCCTAAATGTGAAATTTGTAAATACAGTGGGGCAAAAGAGTATTTAGTCAGCCACCAATTGTGTAAGTTCTCCCACTTAAAAAGATGAGAGAGGCCTGTAATTGGCATCATAGGTAGACCTCAACCATGAGAGACAAAATGAGAAAAAAAATCCAGACAATCACATTGGCTGATCTGGAAAGAATTTATTTGCAAATTATGGTGGAAAATAAGGATTTGGTCAATATCAAAAGTTCATCTCAATACTTTGTTATATATCCCTTTTTGGCAATGACAGAGGTCAAACGTTTCCTGTAAGTCTTCACAAGGTTGGCACACACTGTTGCTGGTATGTTGGCCCATTCCTCCATGCAGATCTCCTCTAGAGCAGTGATGTTTTGGGGCTGTCGCTGGGCAACACAGACTTTCAACTCCCTCCAAAGGTTTTCTATAGGGTTGAGATCTGGAGACTGGCTAGGCCACTCCAGTACCTTGAAATGCTTCTTACGAAGCCACTGCTTCGTTGCCCGGGCGGTATGTTTGGGATCATTGTCATGTTGGAAGACCCAGCCACATTTCATCTTCAATGCCCTTGCTGATGGAAGGAGGTTTGCACTCAAAATCTCACAATACATGGCCCCATTCATTCTGTCCTGTACATGGATCAGTCATCCTGGTCCCTTTGCGGAGAAACAGACCCAAAGCATGATGTTGCCACCCCCATGCTTCACAGTAGGTATGATGTTCTTTGGATGCAACTCAGCATTCTCTCTCCTCCAAACACGATGAGTTGTGTTTCTACCAAACAGTTCTATTTTGGTTTCATTTGACCATATGACATTCTTCCAATCCTCTTCTGGATCATCCAAATGCTCTCTAGCAAACTTCAGATGGGCCCGGACATGTACTGGCTTAAGCAGGGGGACATGTCTGGCACTGCAGGATCTGAGTCCCTGGTGGCGTAGTGTGTTACTGATGGTAGCCTTTGTTACGTTGATCCCAGCTCTCTGCAGGTCATTCACTAGGTCCCCCCCGTGTGGTCCTGGGATTTTTGCTCACCGTTCTTGTGATCATTTTGACCCCACGGGGTGAGATCTTGTGTGGAGCCCCAGATCGAGGGAGATTATCAGTGGTCTTGTATGTCTTCCATTTTCTAATTATTGCTCCCACAGTTGATTTGTTCACACCAAGCTGCTTGCCTATTGCAGATTCAGTCTCCCAGCCTGGTGTAGGTCTACAATTTTGTTTCTGGTGTCCTTCTACAGCTCTTTAGTCTTCACCATAGGTTGTGGACAGGTGTCTTTTATACTGATAACAAGTTCAAACAGGTGCCATTGATACAGGTAATGAGTGCAGGACAGAGGAGCCTCTTAAGAAGAAGTTACAGGTCTGTGAGAGCCAGAAATCTTGCTTGTTTGTAGGTGACCAAATACTTATTTTCCCCCATAATTTGCAAATAAATTCTTTCCAAATCAGCCAATGTGATTGTCTGGATTTTTTTTCTCATTTTGTCTCTCATAGTTGAGGTCTACCTATGATGCCAATTACAGGCCTCTCTCATCTTTTTAAGTGGGAGAACGTGCACAATTGGTGGCTGACTAAATACTTTTTTGCCCCACTGTATATGTTAAAGGTGTAAAAATATTAAACAAACAAAAGCAAAAAAAAAGTTTAAATATTATTAGTTGACAAAATAGAAATGAAAAAAATCAGCAGGAAAATAATAATCGAACAGAGGAGAATAAGGAGTTAATTGGGGCTGATTAGAGTAAACTAAAAGTTAATAAGAGGTTAAAACAGAGAAAATTTTAAAGTGCAGTTCCAGACGTTTTTGGGGTTTATTAAAAGTCAGCAGCAACAAAAACTGTAGCTGCTGACTTTTAATAAACACACACTTACCTGTCCCAGAGTCCAGTGATGTTCTCACCCACGCTGTCCCTTCTCCCTTTCTCTCCTCCATGGCGCTGGCATCTCAGTTGTGGGCACTAGGCTTTGACAGCTTGCGGCTTCACAGCCTGGTGCCCACTGCACATGAGCGAGTCACGCTGCGCCTCCTAATTGGTTCGGCAGTCTTCTCAGGAGACTGTGGGAGGGAGGAGGGGGCCGAAATTCCACGGCTGTGTCAGACCCCCAGTCCTGCTATAAGTCGCTGATCGCCGCCATTACTAGTATGAAAAAAAAAAAGAATTCCAGTATATATACCGCCGTTTGTAGACAAAATTTGATTTTTTTTTTTTTTTTTTTTTTTTTTTTTTTACTGGATATGTTTTATAGCAAAAAGTCAAAAATATTGTTTTTTGTTTATTTCAAAATTGTCAGTCTTTATTTGTTTATAGCGCAAACAATAAAAACCGCAGAGGCAATCAAATACCACCAAAAGAAAGCTCTATTTGTGGGAAAAAATACATAAATTTCATTTGGGTGCAGCATTGCATGACCGCGCAATTATCAGTTAAAATAATGCAGCACCGTATCGCAAAAAATGGCATGGTAAGAAAGGGGGTAAATCCTCTGGAGGGCAAGTGGTTAATGGGGTTCAATTTAAACCATAATGTTCACTGTCCAACTCTGGCAATTATGTTTGGGACCATGCAGAGATGTTAATAAAGAAAAAGGTCACCTATGACTTATTACTCAATCAGCATCTTATTACTCAGACAGCATTAGTCCTTCCAAAGTCCAGTAGGAACATCATTGGGTATACTACAGCTTCACTCTTTATTTATCCATATTAAAAATGACTAAGAGTTCACGCTTTTCAGGCTTCCGTTCTTAGTCATAGCTATCTTGCAGGGATATACTATGTAATCATTTTAGCCTTTGTCGTATCCAGAGATTAATCTGCTAGTGCAGGGGTGGGCAACTGTGACCCTCCAGCTGTTGTAGAACTACAAGTCCCATGAGGCATTGCAAAACTGACAATTACAAGCATGACTCCCAAAGGCAGAGGCATGATGGGACTTGTAGTTCACTAACAGCTGGAGGGCCACAGTTGCCCACCCCTGGCTAGTGCTTTTCAGCAAATATTGAAAATGTGCTAAAACCATCCAGTCCCTTCATTTTAACTGTATCCAGACCTCAAACCTTTTCTCTCGGCCTTAAATAGAATGCTAAGGGATAAGAATTCCTCTCAGGTTTTTATTGCTGTCTGTGTTCCATTGGGGGAAGTCACTCTCATTTTTTGTACTGGTGACCATTGTCACTGGGACTGAAAGCGAAGGAATATACAAAGTCAATACTTAAACACTCCTGCTGTGTCTATAGGACAGGAATCTAAACAAAATATCCCCAATGAAACACAGATAGCAAAAAAAAAAAAGTTTAATCATTTTCTACTGTATCCAAAATGGAAAAAAGTGTTGGTTTTAGATATATTTTAATCTGAGTTTTATAAATACCTAAACAAGTTGAGTAGGCTTTTAATACTGCTATAGCTTTGTGTCATTTGGGTCACATATTTTCTCATAAGGCTTCTGTGGGCTTAGAGGGCAGGCCTTGAATTAGTGAAAGCACCTAATTCTAGGATATTAATAGTCATTAAAAATATCAGAAGACATCAAAATCTACCTAGCAATCAGCTGCACAACATGGATGCCGGGGAAAATGTAGAACCAGTCAGAACCTTTTTAGTTAGTTTAATTGCATTTTACAGACAAAACTAGACATCTGCCTTTGAAAATCCAGACTGATGGTAAATGTGATAAAGGTGTGAATGGCCTTTTATCATGTCTCATACAAGTTTAATATGAGTTTACTCTGTATAATAGTAAGTGTTGAGTATTATTATGGTATTATTATTATTAGTAGTAGTATTATTTATACAAAGAAATATTCCATGCAGATATTGAGGTTATGGACAGTGGATTCTCCCGACAAACAGCATGGACTAGCCCTGGTATGTTTATCTTCTTTCCATAGAATTTACATACAAACTGCTGCAGCTGAATTCCATGGTTATACAAGCAAATTCCACTGTGACTGTTTAGTCAGGCCTGAACTGAGTGAAGCTAAAAGGGAGGGCCAGCATGACTGGGGCCTGCAGACGAGGCGGAGACTGGATTTGGGTGGGAGTATAGGAGACAGGGGGTGGTTACTCACCTGATTGGAGCAATCGGGCTGGAGGGTGGTCTTGCTAGGATGAGGAGAGGGGTTGGGACTTGTCGGTGGTCAGTCGGAGCTTGTGCCAGCACAGGTGAGGTTTTTTCGGCCTTCTCTGGTACCTGCAAAGATAAAACTTAGGCCATGAGTGAAGTGGATGGGATGCTCTCCCAATTGCGGGCAGCGGTGGAAGCAAATGGCTCGGGGTGGCTGCGTGAGATGCTGTCAGACCTGTTGCAAACACCCAGGCCGTGTCACCAGGCCCCTCTCCTGGGCGCCCACGTGCTCGGTGGTCTGTGCCTCCGGTGCACTTTAGCCTAGATGAGACAGCGTGGGTTCGGCGCCGTTCTGGAAGCCCCTTCGTCGACCCTCCCGGCCCCGCTAGTGAAGCGTTGGCCTGCTTCTCCTGGTGGGGGA